CGAAATTAAGCCATTGAAGGAATGATTTGGAAATAACTTTTTTTTTCCAGATAATGATTAAATATCATTTTCTAAGACGGGGTCGAAGAAACAGTGTTATGTTTCTCAGTGATTTTCCAATATCATTATCCAATGACGAGAATACATGCACTTGTTGCAGAAATATAATAAATATGCGCATGCATATTTTTATTCAATTTATGACGCTTACGATGTGTCGTTTTTCTGTTCGCACCGATTTTTTTTCGGTCTACACTAGCGGGAAACGATTGACTTCAAACTCAGGGATCTAGAGTAATGAATAATGACACTTCTACTAATATAAAATATAGAAAGTGCAAACATCACAATAATACTTTCAATTTGATTACAAGTGAATAATTAAAGTGTCATTTAAAATTTGTGAAAAATATATATATTAAAAGGAAAAAAAAGAAGGAAAAGTTGTAAGAGAAAAGGAAAATCGGACGCAAGCTCGCAAAAATTTCCCAAGAGATATTGATTGAAAAATTGGAAAAGGACATGCTTCTTTCTAAAGAATATTTCAACGAAATGCAAGCTAACGCAGTTTCCTTCCATGAAAGGGAAAAAAGGGAGACACAGAAATATGTTGTAATCAAATGATCCGATGGTATATAAAGCGGGGCGTATCTTTGATCCTTTTATAAAATGTTATTTTCAATTTTAATTTTTTTTTTTCGATCTCTCACGCACATCTTCGCAGAACTTTCCAAATGTACCATTACATAATAATACCCGAATATCTCGTCGATGCTTACACGATAGATATTGCTGCATTGTTAGCGAGAACGAAAAAAAAAAGAGTCCGAGTCTTTCCGCGGTGGTCATTACCGCGTAATGCGGCGAGCGTGCAACTCGCTTCGCTGCACCTTTGCATCGCGCTTTATCCGACGAGCGCGAGCTCACGCTCGCTGCGCCTCGTATTACGCCTACCGAAAAAAAAAACCGAGCTCGCTGCACTCAGTTTCCGCAAAATTCGCCGACGTCCCGTAGAAAACGGAGTGCGCGTTTGACACCGAAAAACTGAACTTTTACAAGAGAGATCGCGCTCGAGTTCTCTCTTCAGTATGCGTTTTCAGATTTCGGTTGTTGCGAGGATGACGCAAGAACATAGGCAACGCGCGTAGTGGAAGACCGATTTATTTTGACGTGTTTTGAAAGGAAAAAAAATTCTCCACTTCTGACATCATAACTTAATGTGCTTGCAGGGTGAAGAGCCTCTACGTGGCTCCCGATAAGAGCAAGAATGGATGTACACACGGCGATGATTGTCGATAACGAAATAAATAATTAATCGTCGGCCATTAAAGTGCGATAAGCCGCTTCCTTCCTTACGTATGCCTTTGTGTACTACTTCCCTGTATTGGGAACGAACGCGGGAACAGGAGGAGGGTACTTTCAATTCGCGCATAAATTCGCGCGTAAATTAGTGCAGAAAAAACTGATGGCGTAACACGCGGTAGAACTCCGACGTAATGCACACCGAAGTAACCTTCTCATTTCCTCTATGCAAATTATTTGTTCTCTAATTATTCATTTTCTATAATAACTTACGCGATATGTTTTTTACAGAATCATCAATTTGTAAAAGTATTTCCCTAAAGAATTAATCGGTTTTTTCTTATTCTTCTCCCGAAATTTGTAATTTTATTAATTTGATGAATTTTTAAAGGTAATACTATTATTCAACGTACTTAAAAATGACGAGTGTCTTCGTAAAAATTATTCACAGTGCATTCAAGTCAGTCATTCCCCATTGATATCCCATGCGATAATATGTATAATTAGCAAATTTCGATAAAGAAAAGATACACGCAAAAGCGCAGCACTTAATTAGAGCAAAATCAATCCATTAACTTAATTTTCTCCTAAATTACTTCGTGTCTCAATGATAAGCTGTGTCTATTGTCAAAAACCTTTCAAAGTTTATCTATCGTGTAAACGTCGACGAGATATTATACACGGAACGATTTTACTGAAAGGTCTAAAAATTTTGCTAGATCTGAAAATAATTTTGTTGGACCATCAAAATAATTTTGCTTACAATTCAAATTGATTTAGAATAGCTAGAAATCAAAAGGTTTTACAACAATGCTCATCATTTTTAAATTTTCAACAAAATTATTTATGTATGTAATAAGGTATTATTATATGTAATAATATATTTCGAAAATTCTTTCGAAATTCGTTATCTAAAATAACACTGTGTAATAACGATGACGTTATCTATTTCGAAATTTCTTTCCGACTTTACACGTAATGAGTTTAACTTTAGTCCAACTCAAACTCAGCGGGAAAAGCGAATGTAAAGGATTGAAAAAAGATCAAAATTGAAAATAATATCTTGCAAAAGGATCAAAGTACGCCGCTTTATGTATCATCAAATCGGTTTCATTACAACAAATAGTTAGGTGTCTCCTTTTTTTCCTTTCTTTGCATTAGTTTGCAGTCGTTGAAACGTATTCTTCAGAAAGAAGCACGTCCTTTTTCAATTTTTCAATACCAATACCAGGTAAGAGCAAGATATATTCGCAGATGAAATAGAAATGGTTGAGCAGGTAAGATTTCTGAATGAGCAGGTCAGCTAAGGGGAACTTATATTCTTGGTCTTCGACATGTTTCGACAAGAAGATACAAGAAAGGAAGAACATACACGCGAATACTTTTTAGTGAGTTTAAAAAAATCTAATTTAAAATTATTTTATATACAAAATATCCAAACTTTGCGAAAGTTGAAAGATTAATAAAAACATTCTCCCAAATATTAAATCATTTTAAGTCGTAAATTATCAATTAAACTAACGAATCAATAACAAGTGTACACATATAGAACACTACATATCCCAAAACTGTGCGAGTGTAACTTTAGATATATTTTCTAATGAATTTAAAATCAATCTTCTTTCCTTAGGATGAATACTAATAGAGCCAAAATATCCAAAGAAAAAAGTAACCTTACAATTATAAAAGTAACCTTACAATTATAAAATATCAAGCGTAAAAAATTTGTGAATGTGCAAAGGTCGAATATTTATTTCTTTACTTGATGCAATTCTTCTAATATGTTAATATTTTAAAAATAAAACGTAATAAAAAAAATAAAAATAGATATGCAAATAATTTATATAAATCTATGAATCCGAAAAAATAAACGTAAAAATGTAAATGATTCATTATTTAAATCTTTATTTAGAAATGTTTAATAGCCGGCAGAAAAAAATCTAGGCAGTCCAAAATAGAGACGTGTTTCGCAGGATTTTCAGAGATAAAGATGTTGTCTATGAAGATAATCCTAAGATTTAAACAGCGTGTCGACCATGTAGGGTGAACAAGGAGGGGGGAAGGGGGGTATTATTGGAACAGGGAAGGGAGGAAGCGATGTACAACGATGAAGTTTCCCACGACAGGTGACACGTGAGGACCCGGCAGTCACGGCAGTGCAGGTGGATCAGGTTGGGAAGCAGAGATGCATGGTGGGAGGCCAACAGGCATACCACCAGAGGCATTCGAGAGTCGCCAGAGACCTTACCTCAGAGGCGAACCCTATAAAGGGTCCCCTTCACGAGGCCCTACTGTGTGCGCGCCTGCGATTATATTATCGCGTTACAGGGATACGATATAACTAATCCTACAAATTCGCAGTGTTACTTTCAACGACTGATTTTTTAAATATAAGTTCACTTTTATTTAAAAAAAAGATATCTCGAGTAGTTTTCCGAGATACAAGCAAAATACTTGTAAAAGAACTGTTTGTGGGAACTTAGAACAAGTTATAGATGATAAAATTCTTATCTTTTATAGTTAATATAGAGATTAATTACAAATTAATTTTACATTAAAAGAATTTTAGTTACAAAAATTTTCGATATTAAAAAGTATGAAGTATAAAGATATAAAATCATAAAGACGATAAATAATGTATTTTCGCTAAGGTCAACTTGAAATTTTAATTTAAAAAAAAGAGACAAAAAGAGAGCATGTGCTGTTTTTATTATATGACAAGTTACCGGTCTCGAAACTTCTTTCAATTCGTCTAGCTGTTTAATGACAAATATAGGACAAATTGGAATGCATACCAAGCCATTTGCTCGTAACATTTTTTTTCTCCAAAATTCTCAAAATTCCTGCATCAATAATGACGTCGTCCATTTATCCAAATATGCTAATTAGTGCATTCATGCTATGACCGAGTGCCATGACGTCCCTGCTAAGTTCTGAGGCCAAGGGACGTTGCAACGAAGAGAAGCTTAACGGAGAGACGAGGACGCGGTCTTTCTCCCTCCCCCCCCCTCCTCCTCCTCCCCCGCCACGCGTGATGAGAAGCGGCAGGAGTCTCGTAGGAGCAACGAGAAAAGAGGGACAGAAAGAGAGAGGATGAGTAGGCCGGCACGGCGAGACGATAAAGACGGTTTCGACATTGAGATACGTGAGACTTCGACAAAAGGTATTATCGGTCGCGATGAGTCATAAAATAATTATCGTCCAATGGACCACAGCAAGTGTTTCGTACATGACGAAACTTCAATGTTCAAGAATAATGAAATTTTCTTAATCTCAGGATTCTCGGGAAAGATCTACCTGTTTGTACATATCTGGAAACTATACCTGATATCTAAATTGGGGGAAAAAGAAAGGAAAAAAGCATCTATTGCTGAAATTTGAGAGTCTGAGACATTATCTTGATATTGATTGTAAGTCTTGGATATAATATCCATGTTTTTTTCCGAAAGATTAAGCTAATCCGGTTCGATATGTCGATTTTCTAAGAAGTATGATCTTAAAAGTGTACATTTAATGGAAAAGAAGATAAGCGATAAAAGGAGAGTACATCAGAAAAAAAAGGCTTCGTAGACCGTGTTTTCCACTCCCCTTTTCTCTCTCCCCCGTGCGGCTGTCACGCGAGTCGCGTAACGAAAGCGCGGTGACACACACGCGACGCAACGGGACGGGACGCGAGGCGACGCGGCGGAGTGACTTACTTGAGGAAGTAGATCTGGCCCTCGGGGGTGCGCGCCTGCTCCCATCCGTGCGGCAGCGGGCCCAGGTCGTCGACCGTGCTGATGACGTCGTAGCTGCGCTGCTTCTGATGATGGTGGTGACGCGCGTGCGGCTGCGGCGCGTGTTGCGGCGCTTGCTGTGCCGACGCGTACGTCTGCTGGAGGGAGGCCGGGCTGCTGTGCGCGCGGGGATGAGAGACGGTGAGGCCGGCCGCGACGGCGGCCGCCGCGATCGCGCTCACGGTGCCGTTCGCGCCACCGCCGGCGCCTCCGCTACCACCGCCGGCACCCGCGGCACCTGCGGCATTGCCTGCACTGCCACCGCCGCCGCCGCCGCCGCTGCTCGTGCCGCCGTTGGGCACGCCGCCGCCGCCGCCGTTCGGCGTCGCGGTCACGGCGGCGCCGAACGCGGAATCCGCGGAGTTCTCGCGCGAGTGCGAGATCGAGGGGCTCTTGCTGCCGGTGGACGGCGGATTGAAGAAGGAATCCGGCAGGTTGCGCATGCGCAGCGGCACCTGCAGCGGCCGCTTGGAGTCGGGCTTCAGGACGGTGTCGAAGAGCGCCTGGAGATCGGACTCGGAATTCTGGTCGACCCTGACGACGGGATTACTCTTGGACAACTGGTCCACGTCTTGGTTCAGCGCCATTTTGGATCACACGTTCGCTCGCTCGCTCGCTCGTTCACACTCGCTCACCCGCACGCGCTCTCTTCCTCTCTGCCTGTTGCTTGCGTTCTCCTCCCTCGTCTCCCTTTTTGCCGTCCGTATCGGCGCGTCCTCGTCGCTCTTTCTGCGCCTATCCGTACTCCGCTTCCGCGCTCCGACTTCGCTCGCCTTCTTCACGGCGGCGTACCTATGTGCGTATCATCCGCGTACGCACACGACGTCGTAGCAGACCTCTACCTCTGGCCTCTTGTTCTCCGTCAGCCTTTCTTCTCTCTACAATCGTTTCATTCCCGTGGGATCACTTGTTTTCCTTCTCCACCTGTACGTCGTTTCGCCGCGGCAAAGATAAAACAGTCGACACAACGCCGTCGTTGCCGCCGCCGTCGTCGACGTCGCCGCTACCACCACCGTCGCCGCCACCGCCACCGCTGACCGCTGCCGCCTCCGCCGCCGCCGCCGCCGCCGCCGCCGCAGCCGCTGTTGGGCACCAGCAGCGTTCTCCGCGTCGCGATACCGATGGTCCCGCGCCACCCTCCACCCCGCCGACTTCACTATCTCCGCACTGCGCCCGATCGCTTCCCGATCTCCGTGTGTTACGGGTGGCCTACACCGTTCGAGACTGCGAGACTCGCTCTTCTCATCGATCCCACCTCTCCGACGAAACGGCTCGCCCTACCTGCGTGGACTCGTGACGAGTGCGAGAGCACAGGAAACGAGACCTGAGAAAAAAGAGTAAGAGAAACGGAGCGAGAGAGAGAGAGAGAGGGAAGGAGCGTTCTCTCGATCTTCCAGAGATCCCGTCTAGCGCTCACCAGCAGCGCTTCTCGCCTAGCAGTCGAAAACGATAACGCACGATGTTGCACGCGCAAAACGAGGACGTGTCGTCGCCGTCGTCGTCGTCTTCCAGGAAGTCCCCCTGGGATGTCCCGCGGAACGCGCGATGCACACTCTTGCGCGACGGTTTGATGGACGGAACGAATTCACTCTTCGTCGCCTAGCTCCACGCACCGCCGTTCCTCGATACGTCACCACGGTGTACAACGACGACGTCGGCGGCGACGGCGACGGCGAGGAGGAACATGATATGCAAAACGGGGCTGCTTCGGATTGGCACCGCGCGCGGACGGCACGATATCACGACCGCGAGCGTTTTTCTGGCACCTCGGCGGGACTCGGGAGCTCGAGCTCGGCCGGATGGCGAGGGTCGTCGAGCATTTAAGAGAAGGCACTTTTTCGAGGAAGTTTCGCGTTTCTGCACGAGCACCGACCCGACTCGACTCGACGCGACGCGACGCGCGACGCGGCACGCGGGAGGAGAGGAGCGCGAGGATAGGAGGAGAGCGACGCACACGGGGCCTCTTATTTCTCCTCTCTCGACGCGACCCGACTCGCGGCCTCACCGTCCCGGTCTCCGTGCGAGAACTGCTGGCCCCGACCGACGGGAACGGCTCCGATACCTCGGTCGCTGCGTTACGTCGACTCGCGCAGCGCGCTCGGCTCGGCTCGGCTGGCGGCGATCTGGCAACAACCTGCGTCGCACTAATGATGCCGCAGCTCTGGCAACTCCGCGCCCCGCTGCGAGCCGCCGCCGGGAGTCCGGACGGGAAAAAGCGGTATCTCTCTTTCTCTCTTCCCTCGTCGCCGCGCGGTGTCGAATCTCGCCCCGAAGCACTGTGAGCCAACCCAAACCAAGGCGAGTGGCGTCAGCCTGTTGCTCCTTCTCGGCGTGCCACTGGCTCTCCGCTCCGAACTCCGAAGTAAGCGCCGCGCTGGTGGGGGCGACGCGCCGCGCCGCGCCGGTCGGAGGTCGGAGAGGGACTGCACGGGGATTGCGTGACGCGTCGGCGGCTGGTGGGGGAGGAGGGGAACACACGCCTAGGCAAATAACGCGCGCATCAACGGCACTACATCATGCTACATTCGAGAACAATTTTCCCCCAACAATAACATCAATTTCGATTAATTTTAATCGACAATTAATTCAATCGACAATATACAATTATTACTTGATAAGTTAATCATCGTTAATCGAAGTTTAATCAAATCACAAGAAAGTTTTAAATTTATTTATGTCTTATGCTACGCCTGTATGATCCCGATTACCTATATATTTCGTAATCGCTTTTAACGTAGACAGTAGGTTTTAAAATATTTCATGTAAAAAGTCCGCTGTTCCTTCGAAAAGACGTGCTGTGTTACACTTTTCTACATCACTCACATCAATACAAATATCAAACCGAATATCTAATTATAAAGCCGAAATTCTAAAAATTTCTAGATTTTTATGGAATATTTTTGTCCACTCTTTCAAATACATAGAAGCGAATCACGATATCGATATATAATGATGTATTAACGATTCAACAGCTTTGAGATACTGGCGTTAACGTTGCTCGAGCAGGATTCACCTTCAATTCGAAAAAAATTGAAAATTTCGCGACTTACCTCGGTCGTTCGAATTATATCGAACTGCGATCCTCGAAGTATCATTGAAAGTAAAAAGTAATGAACGCAATCTACACGCGAAATAAAGCCAGCGATATGCTTGGGCCTTTGTCCAATAGCGGCGTAACCATCGACGTAACAGCCAATCGTGTTGCAGTCGCTTTTTGTCCACTTTAGCCAAATGGCGCGACCAATCATTCACCTTTCCTCTTTCCGACACGCAGCGCCGAATCTATCTCTCTACACATATCTGTGATTTAACCGACGAATTCAAAATAAGCGTAACCTCGCTAAAATTTAAACGGTCGGAGCGGTTGTATCACTTAGGCCTTACTGCAGCGAAGATTCATCGAACAGGAAAAGAAGGAATTACACAAAAGATTCCGAGATGTCGGAATTGTACGGTGACAGTGCGAGTGACACGAAAATCGAGGAACATCTGGAGGAGAGCTCGATCTGTCATGATGATTACAAAAGGCTGAAGCAAGAGAACGAGAACTACCGGCAGGAGTTGCATGTTCTGCGACGCAAACTGGAAATTAATACAGCGCTCATAAAAGATCTTCAGAGCTCTGGAGATGCTTTGGAGGCGGATATGAAGAAATTCGCGCAAGCGACGGTTATGCGATGTTCCGAGAAAGAAGTAAAGTAAGAATTAAATTTTAAAAATTATACACATTGGAGCAGTTGCTTTCAGAGCTCTTATTTTCGTCGTTTATGTGTTTTACATCAAGTCTTCATTTATCGTATTTTGATATGTTAAAGAGATGGATTTTAAATATTTGATACATGTTTAATCTCTTCTAATTATTTTTTCAACCAAGATTTTCTTATATATTATTAATTATGTTAATCCTAATAAAATGAAACTATATGTTGCACTAGGTACAATGCTGAGCGAAAGGAATACGAAGATCGTATTGCAGATCTAGAAGCAAGCCAAGTAAAATGTGAACACACAATTGAGCAGTTGCTGAAAGACCTGCAAAAATATGAAGATCTTGTGAATAAGCGATCGTGTGATCTGACTGGAACAGAAGATGCTTCGATTGTGGAATTATCTAAGATGCTCGAAAATGAGACAGAGATGCGTGAAAAAATGGAGACGGATAAAAGGGAGTTGATATTGAAACTTTCCCGCGTGGATGCTGAATATAAAGAGCTTGAACATTGTTTAAAAGTAAAGCAATAACTTATGACTTACTTTGATCGATTGTAACGTAAGGCTAAATGGAAATATCTTTATAGAAAACAAGGGAACAACTGGCAGAGAAAAAAGAGGAATTGGAAGACGCACGGGAAACTGCTAGAGAATTAGCTGTGACTCTTGAGGAATTGCAGTCGTCCAATATGACTCCTGCTAGTGACACGTGTAAAGGTAGAATAATAATTAAAATATAATACTCAGTTGTTTATGATTTTTTCTCTAATTGATTTAATTTCCTAAAATTGATAATATTTTAGGAAATTCTTTATTTGCTGAGGTCGAAGATCGCCGGCAAATGTTGTTGGATAAGATGGAAGCGTTTTCGCACAAATACAATGCAGCAAAGCAAGAGCTGAATAGGGCAAAGACCGAAATCAAGCTGCTGAAGATGGAGAAAGTCAGCATGGCTAGAAAAATGGAAACTGATTTGATTGATACGTTGCAAGAGAATGCAGAGCTTCTGACTAAGTACAAGAGTAGGATCTTCGATCTCGAGAACAAGTTAAAGGCTGAAATTAATAAGAATGATCAGATGGAAGAAATGCAGTCTACAGACGATAGCTTTAAGTAAGCAGAAGAAGCGTTTCTGCTTGAATCCGAATTAATGTATAATATACGTAATAATAAGAGGCATAAATTTAACTTTCAGTTACGCTCAATCGTTGCTAGCCGCGAAGGGGAAAGAGCTCAAGGAGTTGAATGAAAAAATTGAGAAGCAAGCTATGCAGATGCTGGTGCAGGACGAAGTAAACTACAATCTCTCGAGACAGCTTCGTTACTGGCAGCGTAAAGCAATGTTTTTGAACGTAAGTATCTCTGCAGAGAAAAGAATTATTTCTTGCTCTTCTTTAAGATTTTTTTAATATAAAATCTCTTTTGTATCTTCTAGATTCAAGTTAGTGCTATAAAAGAGAAATTGAAATTGCAAGATACACATGGTAGTAAAGTCATTCTTCAATCTATCGAGGATTGCAAATTTATTGATAATGACAATTTTGAAAAGGGCTGTGATTCTTCATCTTATGATCTCTCGCCGGATGATACTCTCTGTTATGAGAATTCAGATGAAGAAAATTCAACGAAAAAAGTGTCAAAAGAGCCAGTAGTGGATTCCGCGAAAGAACAGAAGGAATCCAAAAAATTCGTAAATTTCGCTAGTGATACTAAAGACTCGGAGAGTTTTAAAAAATCTTTGAAAAAACAACCGAAACAACCGAAATATTATCCTGTTATAGTTTGTAAAGATGATGGTACGTTCTCTGTTTCATGATTCAATCTTAAATTCACTTTTTACTTTACTGCGATACTGTACAGCACATTAGCGGTTTTTACCAAATAATTTGCATGAAAAAACAAAATTATTAAAGGGGAACAATTAATGGATAAGATATAATGGAGATATAATGCAGATATATTTTTTTAATTTTACAATTTAATAAAGAGCTATTTTGTATGTTTTTTAAATTTGTGTTTTCTACGTTCCTCTTTGTCGTTGACGAGATGTTGTGAAAGACCGACAATCTTACGGGAGTTAGCTTATATGATTGTTAAAATTTGAACAATTAGCTAATGATATAATATTAATTTTATGATTTTATGATTTATTGTTAGATTAATGTTTTTTAAATTTGTGCCTCGACATGTATGTATAATATACATATATGTATTTACAACTTGTTAGTAACTGCATTTTTATAGTTACCATGAGTGATTGATTATCCATAAAAATGATAAGAGTAGAAAAAAAAATTATTTTGCGACAATGATATTATAAGTATCTATATTTATTAATTTATAGAGCATTTGTATGATAAAAAAAAATCGATGATTTTAATAATGCATTATTCAACTGCATTTATGTTAACAATCACAAATTTATATCAATAATTCATAATATTGATACCCAATCATCTCCAGGCCCTTCGAGTCTCTTTGATGATCACGAAAATTTGTTCACGTCTCGTCGGTGGCGTTTCATTTTACATGAATGTCGCTTCTCTTCGCCAGATGACTCACCTGTCGATGCTAAAATATTCGCATCCATGATGTAAAAACACACCCGTGTCGCGTCTATGAATTCTATGCACATCGATAAATGCGTGTTCATCTTGCAATTTGCCGCATTCAAACAAGCTGAAACAAGCTGTTGCTGATTGTTGCAAAGGTTTGTTTTTTCTTGAATTAAACTTGATGACAGCGAGAGTCATTAGGACCATATCCTGAAAAGAAATTACGGGACAACTTAACAGCGTTTGTAAATCGACATCTAATGCGTCGCGAGGCAAAGTAATATACACGAACTCTATTATGTCGTCCGTAATTTTGATTTTGAGACGTAATTAAGATATTTATGATAAAATTAAACGATGGAGCAGCCCAAAAGAGCCGCACCTAACGAGGAGTTAAAAATTCTCGAACCGGTCCTAATAAAAGTCGGCACGGACGAACGGATTCACATCGATAAAAACGAGGTACGGAAACGCGCGATTGACACATAGAAAAATTCTGGTGCTCTCCATGTGTCACACAAGCCGACACAAACGTCATTCTATCCTTAGCATTTAATTAAGTAACAAAGGCAAAACGATGTGTTGGCTTGTGTCACCAAGTGGAAAGCACCCTATGTGATCCTAATTAATGTGTACGATAAATCATGTATTTTTCAAACGCATGTTATAGATATTTTTACAATGTTGCTCTTTATCAAATCCTTTGAACGTATAGGACATAATTTTTTTTCTCCTTTCGTACAGTTCAAGATCGGACGCGCAAGAGACAATGACGAGATTATATTGGATACCATGATCTCTAGAAAACACTGCGTCTTTAGATGTGAAGGCCAAGACGAATGGACGATAAAGAACTTAAGCTCTTCCACAACAATAATGGTCAACAATCAAATTCTGGCCACTGGCGAAGTACAAACTGTCCGTTCCGGTGATATCATACAATTAAGTTTTAATGAAACGTTCAAATATGTATTCACCCTTACCGAGACAGAGCACCGTGTTAAGAAGCCACGTATAGACGAAAAGATACTCGACTCTGTTTTGGTCAAGCAGAAAACTTTTGCCGAAAGCCAAGAAAGCCAGAGGAAAGAGTTGAGAAATAAGCTTGAGATAAAACAGAAGGAGCAAATCGTATTAAAGCAACAGCTCGAAGATCTGTTGTCGCAGCAAGCTATGGCTAAAGACGACAAGGAAAACTTGTTGAAGCAAATTGCAGTGTTGGAAGATAAGATAAAGGCGTGTAATACTCAGGAAGAGAATCTGAATAGCATGTATTCTCAATTATTGGAAAAGTTGGAAAACGAAAGGCTGCAGTTTGAGGCGAGGATAAACGAGGAGAAACAGAAATGGCAAGAGGCGTTAGAGATGAGTAAGCAAGAGAAGGAGATGTTGGAGGTAAAGATGAAAGATCAAATGGAGAAGTGGAGAGAGGAGCAGCAAGCGGAATGGAAGAAGATGATGGAGAGCAAGGTGAAGGAAGAGAAGGACATTCAGGCCCAGTTATTGAATGAGAAGATTATGTTAGAAGCGAAATTGAAAGAGACGGAGCAAGCCTTGAAGGAACAGGAAGCAAAAGCAGAAACTTCACAGGCAATATTGAATAGTATGTTCTAATAAATTTTACACAAATTTACAGATTGTTCCACATGTAATGCTATTTTTTTTTAATAGTGTGCTTTTCAATTAGAACTTCAAAACAATCATTTGCCATTACTGAATCGTTTGATCTTTTTTTTTTCAGTAAACGCAGATGAAACTGTCGCGAGTACATCGGAGTGTATATTCGTGAACTTGAACGGCGATCAGTACGAGGTTCCGCAATATGAAATAATAGACACGATAGATCTGACCGAGTTAAGTCAAAATATTCTAGAGACCAACATTAAGGAAAGCGTCCTCGGAAAAGTGAGCGACATAATGGATGAACAACTGACGTGCTCCATATGCTCGGAATTATTTGTCAATGCAACGACGTTGAATTGCGCGCACACCTTCTGTCATCACTGTATAAAATCGTGGAACAGGAGACGGAAGGACTGTCCCGTCTGTAGGAAGCCAGTAATATCGATGATTAGATCGTTAGTTCTAGATAATTTTATTGAGAGTATGATCGACAACTTGCCTCCCGAACTTAAAAACAAAAGAAAGGAACTTATACAAGAAAGGCAAGGTAAAGAGTTTTAATTATAATAATACGCTTTATATACATTAATGTAGCACTCCCTAAATTTAACTCTATTTAATTTGTCTGATCTGCACTTCTGTTTCAGCATCGGAAAAGAACAAACGACCGTAATTATAAAGCACAAGTCGAAACGCAAAAAGACGGGTACTGTAGTATTTTATTTTTATGTTATATCTTAAGAAGAATATTTACTGTTAATTATATCTCAAGAAGAATATTTATTGTCTAGTTAGTCAAACAATTTGTACACCGTGTTGGTGAAGTTTTGCTCTCTAAATACTCTCGAAAATTCAAGTTTTATTTTTATAAAAAAGATATCCTTTGAAACATCTTTTTTTTTATTTCATCGTTTTATTCATTTGCATTGTCCGTATATATGATAGGTAAAAATATGACATGTATGTATAATTAATGAAATATTTTTATAAAACGTTTTTCTACTTATTGTCTCACGTTTTTATACTTTATGTAGGCGTGCACAAAGACGTCCCTTACTGTGGTAATTGAATTAGCTAAACAATGTCTAACAAAAGTATACTTACATAATAATGCATACGAAAAATCAATAAAAAATTGCATAATTCGTGAAAAAATCAATTAATCGAGTCTTTAATATATGAAAGAGTGACAGTATGATAATCTTAATTTGCATTAGATTTTAGAAATATCTAAATCAGGGCTTTGGAATTTTCACAGTTAGTGCAGCCGCTTTTTATATTTGCCTTTTTTCTATTTTTGAAAATTTAAATTTTTGCATTTTTTACAATGTCAATATGTTCTGAAACTCATAAAAAAGTAAATCTAGTCGCATTGTATCTCTCTCTTTCCAACATATATCTATCATTTCAAATGCAAACATTTTTGAGGATTTCAATCAATGCAAACAAGTCTGATATATCGTCCTTTTATAATGAGTCTGCTTCACTTGCATCCCTTCATTGCACCTTATTTACTCTTTTTCTCTTTTTTTGTTCAAAGATCGAACATACATTCATTTCATTCATTCTAACCACAAAAGTGCGAGAAAGTGCAACTAAAACGAGCAGATCTATTATCAGCTGTTTACATACACCACGCACAGGTGCGTTTGCTGGAACCGGTATATTGTAGTGATTATTAAAATGCAGAGTGCACGTCCTTTTATTATGTACCTTCAGATATCCAGATGTATTAGTTCATCCAGCATATGCTCGAATTTCTATAGAGAGGGTAAATTCATGAAAAAAATAATGTATGGAAGTCGTAAATCGAAGAGGTAAGACGGACTGCTTGAGACAGATAAAAAGATGCACGCTTTAGACTTTTGTTAAATCCAATTTGCATATTTTTGTTTTGTTGCAGAAAATGGTACGACACAAACACAGAATTACGCAGTGTCGCGAGCGTCGATTCGACCGTTAAACCTACGCCTTCTAAGCATACGATACGCAGAATGATGATTCGAGATAAACTTTTCATGGAGCATATAACGGACATGATGTCGATGGGACAAGTGTCTGACATTTTAAAAGACGGCCTAGAGATTACCCATGTCAAGATAACTCCGGACTTCAAACACGTCAATGTGTACTACATACCTAATAACGACTCACTTGTCCTCCAGGAAGCGTTGCATAAGTGCGCCGGAATTATTCGGCACGAGCTGTCGCAGCTGCGTGTCATAGGTGTAGTGCCGCCTATCCAGTTCGTTCAAAACAAGCAGCACTTTACAGAGAAGGAAGTCGAGAAGAGATTGGCGATGATAAATTTCGAGGAAGAGAGTGAAACCCTGGGCGAACAAGAGCAATTGGATATTTCAATTGCAAATGCCGATTCCAAGACGGGTGAATTTTATATCAAATTGCCAGTAATGAGACACGACGTATTTGGATTAGATCATCACAGAATCACATCTCAGGTAATTTCTGTCTCTTATGTTTTTTATTGATAAAAGATAAATGCGTGAAATATATGTTAATTAATTATTACAGATTGTCAGTGCAATGTCCAAGTCGAAGAAAGCTTCGCAAAGACGAATGTTGGATGCGGATACGAGTACAGATGAAAACACTTGTGATCCGATCTCGAAAGAAGTCGAATTTGTAACCCGGAAAGAGCAGCAAAAGGTCTTCTCTGATTTTCTGGACAAAAGACGGAAGGAAGAAAAACTTAAACGTCGTGCGAAACAATTGGATAGACAAAAGTTGTTGAACACTTTTGAAGAGATAGATAACGAAGAATTTGATTACGAGAATGACGAGGATATCAACGACGAGTACCTCGATGAAGATATCGATAAGGAGTCCAATAATGAATTCAAGGATGAGACGCGAAAATGATTTCAACACGATTTGTTTACAGAGAACAATTTTTTATTCAACATAATACTAATGGGAGCTTGACTTTCTGTACGTATGTGTAGATATAATAAATAATTTATATTTATTAGTAATAAATTGTATTGTACAATATACAACAAAATCTTGCTATCAACTGTTCGATGAAAATATCGAATACATCCAATGAATTTAAGGATGAGACACGAAAATGATCTCAAAACAATTTGTTTCAGAAAACAATTTTTATTCAATATAAATATAATACTAATAGGATTCATTTTCTGTACATGTGTGTACAATAAAATAATTTATTAGTAATAAATTGTATTGTACAAAATATACATAAAATCTTGCTATCAGCTGTTCGATGAAAATATCTAATAACGAGTATCATCGAATTTAAGAATGAGATACAAAAATTGTTTCAAAACGATTCGTTTCAGAGAACAATTTTTATTCAATATAAATATAATACTAATAGGCTTGACTTTCTATACATGCGTGTACAATAAATAATTTATTAGTAATAAATTGTATTGTACAATATACACAAAATCTTGCTACTACCAGCTGTGAGATAAGACAATAACAATAACAAGAATGCTCACTCTTCACTAGTTACCTATGTTAGTAAAGCTAAGACTGTACATAATGTACAAACTTCCATTATGTAATTACACCTCGTACTTTTGTACTTTTGATCCCTTTTTGACTCGTTTGAATTTCTTAAAGCGCGCTATAATAGAGTTGCACATAATCTCGACGATTAAAAATATAAATCTTACTTACGGCAAGATCACACTATTCCTCTTAATATTTCCCGCGCATTTGCAGTAATACATTGTCATAATTTCCAAAATTGAAAACGTGTAAGTATTATATATTAATGATTTCGCGATATCTTAGTATCTACAGTCAATCAATTGACACGCGACCAACATCCGTCAGTTTACGCTCTTTTACGTTATCAATATTTATAAATTACATAAAGCTCATGTGTCACGACATAAACATACGTATTTGTATGTTAAAGATATCTTGCGGCATTCTTACATCACAATATGTGCTTACTTATGTTTCTTTGTACCAGTCAGCGAAACTGGAATGTCCTTTTTGGATGAGAATAATTGACTACATTTTTAAATTAAATCTTTGATTCTGTTGAGCCTGACGTATTCAGATTTTTTTCCTCTGATCTTCGCTCTTCGAACGCTTCATTTACATCCATATCTTGATCGTTTACGGGTTTGATGTAGGGACGTACATTTGACGATGTTAAGTGAGGTATCGAGTCACTTAAGGCGCATGCTTCCAATACGTATTTGTTGAAGGTTTCGCTTTTGTCCGCGTAAACATGATGACCAGCTCCGGTAATCACCTGCATAATAATTCATCTTATATAGACAGTTGCAAATTGATTTTGTATCTTGTGTGCGATTTAATTATTTTCCCACCTGAACATTAACATATGACGAAGATCGGAACTGTTTAATCATTTCACCAGCTGAATTGTCAACCCACGATCTACTGCCATAAAGTAACGTTATAGGTATATCATCGTTTAACTTATCCATCCGTTTAACAATTGGATTTTTTGCCCATCCGAAACCTTGCATCATCGCATGAAACGCGCTCTCGCCTCTGTGAATCGAGTACAGAATATTATATAGCGCGTTTAATAATATTTCTAAATACACCGAGATATTTACGGTATGCAACTTACGAAGGTGTCTGCGCGTTGCACTGATGTATATATTGCGAAATTACAGCAGTGTCATCCTTCAGTAGGGGAGAAAACTTCTTCACAATGTCAGGTCTTGTCTTTTCGATGAGCCACTGTCCTGCGATAAATATTTTCATTCAATAATGTGGAAAGAATACAATATACATTATTGCGTATATATGTTCACGGTGATACTAACCGAATGGTCCAGCGACTCTAACTGCCCAAAGAGGATTCAAGGGTTGTACCGCAAACGCTATAGCTTTAACCCAGAACGGTATATGTGCCTTCGTAACAATTTCTCTATCGGCTGGCCTCTCGGGAAAGCCCCATGGATCAGCTAGTATAAGGTGTTTCACTCTTTCGGGATATTGCATGGCGTAAGATGCCGCGAGAAAGCCGCCCATTGAGTGACCCAGCAATACAAAGTTCTCCAGCTGCATTTCTCTTCTCCACTCCTCCACAGAATGTACTAATTGCTCCTCGGCCTTTTGTGCTTCATTGCTAAAGACGGGTCTGCTACTCCTGCCAAATCCTAAGAATTAAAAATGTCAAGTGTAGCTGTATTAGAAGTGTAGAGTGATAAAAGTCATAGAAATTATTAATGAATGTTATGAATTATATTCGAATATTTTGCATCCAGTTATGAAAGGCAGATTCATATATCAAGTTATATGTTATACGCAACTACAAAGTTCAGCTGATTTGATTAGTCATGCAGATGAGTCATGTATTTGTCAAGAGGATAATGATAAAATAATCACAAAAGTAGAAAGAACTTAATTATTAGATTACGTTGCATTATGTTAATATAAATCAGATAGAATCACAGATAAAAAAAATTAAGCACTGGAGGGAATTTCGAGGCTGCTTTAAATGGTTTCTTACCTAACAAGTCTATGGCGTAAACTGGTCTCTGGGATGCAAGCGCGTCCAAATTTAAACACCATAGTGCTACTCCAGCTCCTAAGCCGTGTAGTAAAACGATTGGGACCTTCGGCGATTCCTCATTCAATGAAATGGTCCATATCTTATCCGCTGGTCCCACAACCGGCCCAATATCGACAAACCATCCTCGATACGCTGTTTTCAAGCCTGCATTTCGATTAATAATGTATATGTAAGAATTTCGGTCTAGCCGCAAGTTTAATCATAATATTAATACGATATTGTTTATCTCGCTTACACGACAAAATCTTCTTCTCTGCAGCACGTAACATTGTCGATGACGATCCAGACCAGCTAAACCATCCCCAAATCCAGCTGCTGCAACGATAAAATTACGATTATTTCCTTCTTGGCATTATGAGAACTAAGAAAAAGGAATCTTCTCGATTTATCCAACATATCGACGAAATTGAGATGAATCAGCGTTTGATAGCAATTTGTGTTAAGTCACGCTTCCGCATCGAGAGACAGGTACATACGTACGTAGCGAAAACGGTGTGTATTAATAGCCGTTATATCACAGTTTCCAATTATTACTCGCTCCTGCTCGCGCAATTCGCCACGTGCCACCGCAAAAGATCTATCGCGCGCGGTGTGGCCTTGAGATGCCTTAGAAAAAAAAAAAAACTAAAAATGTCTACCTTTCGAACCGTAAACACGATTCGCGATCACCTACACCGCTTTATTATGGTGTTCGGCTCGTTACTTTCTTCGCGCTACAACCCGCCGTCATCCTCGTTCTGCCAAATGACGTAACGTCGCGATACGATCGCGGTTCAAAATCGCGACGTAATCGACGAATCGTGACGGAATCTTTTCGCGCAATTCTATTTCGCTCACCTTTTCGCCTGGACGACTTCATGGTCTGCCATGGGTGCGAGGCGATGACGACGACGACGACGACGACGACAGTAACGACGACGGTGGGCTCCTCTTGCCGCTCTGCCGCCGCGAGCCGGGGCCCCTTTGTTGTCGGCAAATGCGGAAAAACACGCGTGTGCTGTAACGCGCGCGATACTATTATCTAGCAGAAGCGTCTGAATCTGAATGGACGGCTCGGGCGAATGCGTGGTTCCATGACAAGCGCGAGCCGCGAGCGGTGACGGGCAACAGCGGCGGCGGAGTAGGGAGGAATCAGCTGATATCAAAACGCGTGCGCGCGCGTGCATGCAAGAGCACACCGATTTCTGGAGCGTGTCCGTTCACGAGGGGACACGCTGCCGCGAGATCTCCTCTTCCTCTTGTTCTAGAGATCTTATCGAGGCCGAACTCACACTGACGACGCTCGGAAAAAGAGGTCGAACCGATTTAATTAATTCGTCGAGGTTTGTCACGAGCGCTTCTTTCAACACGAATCGATCGCTAGAAGATACTTTTGGAGATCGTCTTCCGCGCGATACTTACACTGATTCGCCTTTTTTTGCAGCAGGACTTTGTCGGGGGATAGAAACGTTCCGGAAATGGAAAGTTACCGATCAGTGCCTTGGATAATGAGAACTATCCTGCAGTGAGCGAAATGTCTGCAGCGATACGCTAGCGGTTTTCCAGCGGACTTCTAGAGAATATTACGGCAAATTGACGTCATCTGCGTCCGCATTAAGCTCCTGTTCCGCTAACATAATCTAACAACAGAAACAGGAGTAGAAGTTCTGCCATCCGTGTAACTATTAAAATGATAGATTTTGCTCGGTTTCCGCAGTGCCATCATTATTCTGTTAACAGATTCCGTTTTTTTTTCTCACTAAGTTCCTTATAAGCTTCTTATTAGCATCAGTAATATTAAACTGGTTTTTTTTCAGACTTAATATATTATAATAACATGTGCATGTTTTAAAAATTGAATATAGTAATCGGTTATATGTGATTTAAAAGTATAAAGATAAAAAAATAAAACATTCACAAAAATTATTAATATACTTAAAATCTCAGTCGGAAATATCAACATTTATTTATTTTGTGTTATATAAACAGGTATTTATTTTATTATATATTTCTATCGATATTCTATTCTCGACAAAAGCAACACTTGTTCATATACATAGCTGGCTATGTTCGAGGAGCGTGTTATCACAGCTATTGCATCATTTTATCTTTTTACGTTTAATCGACGATAAAGATAAAATGACACAATAGCGCTGGTAACGCGCTGCGATGAATTTGACTATCTGGATATAATACATACACATACATATCTGCATGCGCATTTCTCTGTAAACCACGTGTACCGTCGTGCGTGCAACCTGCATGCCGTTACCCGGCACGCGTTTGTTACGTTACGATGTGAAGGACATATGTGAAGGTGTGGGCGAAAGGAAGAGTTCGAAGTTACCGATCCGAAACGCTAACCGAGCTTCCTGCCGTGTTTCACTCTACCGTTTGCATTATAGAGGTGGAGCTACGTTCTGGAAAAAAAAATGCGGTTCCACCGACAGTTCGGACCTTCGGACCGCCCGCGCTCGCTCTTCCCTATCTCCTCTCATTTTAAGAGGATTAGAGGAAGATTAGAGAAAGAAAGAGAAAGGGGAGACAGCGCCGAAGGATATCGTGCCGGATATCAAAAATAAAGAATGGAGAATCTCGTGAGCGTGAACTGTCGACCTCCGGGGTCGATAGAATACCGGCGGGACCTCCGTCGGCTCCGCCGTATATCCGGCATGGTTTCGAGGCGATGAATCCGGACCGGATGCACAACGCGATTCTCAAATCTGGAGCGTCGGCGAATGACGCGACGCGACTCCGCCGTCGGGCTCGCGACGCCTGCACGCAACGAACGTGAGAATTGCATCGCGCGTTTCCCGTTTCGATTATATATACTTTCTCCTGCATGCTCGATTCCGAGACGTACGTCTCTCGAGATTATAATTGTCCGAAAATCGCGACATATATATGTATACGAACGATGTCGATCGAGCGGCATTTCCGACGTTTGAAAATCGTCATCGTCCGATTGACGTGGCGAGAATGCACATCGGTTCAAAGGTCGCGTCTTCACATATACAGAGTGTACATATCAATGCAGAATAAAAAAAGGCTGCAGCGCGCCGATAACGCGCCGCGAATCGACGCGAGGCCTTATCGCGCCGGCAATCGCACGCGCGCGCGGCATATGTTATTGTTAAGGTCGAAATAAAAGGCCCGATAGCGCGAGCGAGCGCGAGCAGCCGGTGCAGCCGCCCTCGTCGAATTAGACTTCGCCTCGGTTATCGCGCTCGTTAATTGCGCGTCCATTACTACTCCGTCGCAAATACTGACCAACTTAATCGTGCGTCGCGCGACCTGTACCAGCTTCAAATCTGAACGCACAAATTCCACAAACACAGTCTCCAACGAATCATCTCCATCTCAGCCGTATAGCTACGCCGAACTTGATCGGATGAAAAGAAAAAACGGTCAGTACAAATACATAAAATACCTAAAAGAGATAAGATACAAGCGAGAAAGCTAGTTGAGACAACATAATCTTTCGATGTTTCTCATATTTTCAGCGTTTCCTGAAAGAACCGCACAAATAGAGTACACACATCTATATCTCTAGACGTCGTCCTCGTTGAAATATAATTCTCGGAAAAATCGACGACAGATAACGGACAGACGTAATAATCGTTCGCCCGCGTTTTGTTTACTAAATAACGTCACAGAGGCGTCCTTCCCCGTCCCCGTGGGGGGGAAACGAAATCATATCAGTCCCAAGATTGACTCAAGATAAGTGCATCGTTGACGCAAATGCTGAGCGAGCTGTTGCTTAAGTCGGCGACCGCGCGTAATATGTATGTAACTGGTCTATATCGGCAAGACGTATGCACGCGGTCGCGCCCCGCACCTTTCGCATGATTAATAATTGCACGGTACGCCCGGTACCGGCTTGACAATACGAGGCGGCGCGTGCAACGCTGCTCGCCATTGTCTCGCGAGGCGGACGCGCCACGCCGCGAGTTTACCGTAAGATCAATTAACGCCGATGACTCCGTACGCTCCCTCCGCCCGCGCCTTCACGGTAATTTTGCGAAAATTATAGGAAACGCCCCGCGGCACTCGGCGAGAAATTGTGAGAGGGCATATATATATATGGCGAATTGGCGAAGCTTTAGGGAACTACGGACGCATTCGGGAAAAAAATATGCGCCACGTGTACCGATCGTCTGCGATCGCCACGAACGATATTAGTAATAATAATAAAAGAAAAATAACAATCAACTAGTAGATTAATATTTCAGCTTCAAAGCGCAAGGCTATTATTTAACGAGTCAGTTTTTTCGAAGATAACAATTGTTGCGATTAACACGAAGTGACGGAAATAACATAAGTGGGTATGCGACGACGTAGATAAATAAGCATTTCGGAAGAGAAGAGGCATTTCTCTGTTACATCGCGCCCGAAGATCTCGACAGAAAAGCTCCGGGCACTTTTTGCCCTCTCGACAATATAAGCCATTCATCCCAATCAGCACATCCTCTCATTGCACTCGCGCATGATTCTCATTACCCAGTCCAATTGTTTCGCGAATTCAGCCAGCCGCACGTACAACGGCTATATAGTCTCGCCGCAGATCGCGACGTTCCATTGTCGCGCGATAAACGCGCGACGATTGTGACACCGGGGGAGGGGGGGGGGGACGCGGTTATCTGCCGCGTCGAATGATCCTAATCATGCGCGTCGTGCGTTCATCATTACAATGTAGTTGCGGAAGTACAGCATATTAGAAATGCGCGTTATATATACGCTGGGCAAAAGCGTGCCGCAGACGTGTGCAGACATCTGTTTCTGTTGGCGCGATTATCCGATTCCGGTACGTGCAGATGCACCGATGATCGGAAGATCGCTCCGACATTAAAAGCCCGGCGATAATTCGCGTTCGACGAAGATCGCGGTTACGCTATGTATGTAGCGTGTGCGACGCGGTCACGACGTTGCCAGACCGCAACGGGGGGGAACGAGACAGAGTACTATAGTCCGATTCGTTCCGAGTCTCGTTATTTGCGGGCGATACGTGTAACGATCGTGCGAGCTGGAAACGCAGTCGTCGATTTCCCGAGCGCGAGCGACGCGACGCCGCTCCTCGCGGTATCGGCTCGGCTGGCGTCTGCGACGATCAAAACCGGGAGGTGGAGACATATGCGGTGGAACTTCGCATTTGGCGAGGCGTGTGTTTCTCGTTAAATGAAGGAACAAACGGACGGACGAACGGACGCACGCAGGATGCGCACGCACGCACGGACGCGCACGCGTGTGTGGGAGTGCGTGCGTACCGTGCTTGCGTGGAGAGTAACATATACATACATGCACACGCACACTGTGCGTGGCGTAGGAATACACGTCCGTTTCGGGCGTCGTCTGCTGGGCACTACTTTTCGGCTACTCTGCCACGGTCCGTATTAGATACGATCCGCCCGAGAAGCGAAGGATGAGCGAATTTTCAGGGCCGCGAGAGGGACCGGCCCGGCGGACGACCGGACGGACGGCGAGACCTCGGTATACGAGCCAATACGAGCGATCATGACAAATGGATCGTGCGAACGATCCGTCGTTATGTCGCACGAAATGAATTTCCTACGACGCAGTTCTTATTCCTCGCGTTTCATATTGTAACTTTCCGTTCTACACGACGTTTCGGATTTATTCGACGCAGGATACGAGTTTTGCAGCTGTCGCTCGGCTAGTCGTATCGCATCAAAGCCCGTAATCGCTATCGCCACTTTTTCATCAGCGATTAATCGATATTATAATTGAGGGATTGACGGGTATTAATTGATATGGAACGCGATTAACACGAGATATTTCGATTGCATAACAGTTATGCCGCCAATAAGTTACATCTAACGATAAGAATTGTCTAACATATAGTTAAACTTAATAATATTGTTAATTTATTGCATACACAAGATTTCTGACAAGATAATTAATGATGAAAAATGGAAATGTATAAGGTTGCCTACATATAATTGCATATTATTTGTCTAATACATGCATTCAGAAGACGGAACTCTGGTCTGCACACACACGAAAGTTTACTTAAATGAGTAAGATAAAAATTCATCTCGAGTCGCTTTTAATATCAGAGTAATCGCTCTTATATAAGACATAAATGTAAGACATAAATGTAAGATTTTACTTTTATGCACTGTTGTGCATGTATAATAATTATGTCACGGCGATATTTCTCATTGTTGTGTGTGTGCATTTTTGTTCTTCTGCTCTAACGTGTCCCATAGTATATATTTTCACAATGACGCACGAATTTATCGGCGGCAGACGAGCGAAAGTTCTTCTTGACGCATCCAAAGCAATGATTCATACGATAAGGCGTGTACTTTCCCAAGACTCCGAACGCCGCTATTGTTTTATCGCCGGCTTTCAACCCTGCCAGAAATTCCAGATAAGATCGCGCGATGAACGGCCGGATCGTCCCTATTATTCTATGATAGCAAGAAACGTGCTAAATACGTTTATCGTATCCGATTGTTTATTTCACAGCTGCAGGAGCGCTGTATCGCCTCGCGAACGTCTCGCGAAACATCTCTAGCGCAGGCGAGAATCAGAGGGACTAAGGGACTATATATACGTCTCCACGGTGTCACACCCAAAAAGTGCAATATAGATTGCAGCCCATGGTAAAAACGTCGAGAAGGTATATATTATTCGGCATGCGCGGTGAAATCGCTTGACCCGCAAAATTCTATCGATGGGATGACCGGCGATCGCGGCGAAACCCCATCCTATATGTATATACATATGTATACATATAATATATATAAATATATGCCTGTTCTTTCCTTTCCTTCGATTATTCATGGGAACAATTACATGCAGGTCGCGTCATCAAGATCGAACGGCGCCTCGCGATATCGCTCCGCGCGATTTGTAATTACGAAGCGCGTATATGTACATCGTTATTGCGACGACGGGGATCGATCGCCCGGCTCGAAGCCGCCTCACGGAGTCGGGCATTTTCAAATTTTTAGGTTATAGCACGCGAGGGCGATCGGCGAAGGGCTCGGTGGGGGAGGGAGTAGCGCGGGCGGGGAAGAGGAGAGATGCGATGCATGTGGGACTACTTCGTCGCGGCGAAGCAGCAGAGAGCGCCGGGGTGCGCGCGACTCACTCGCCGCGACGCGACGTTAACGCGACGCGGCACCTGCCGGGCTGCGCGCGCGTCCAGCACGCCGCAAACGAACGTGGCAAATGACGGCGAGTCGGGCGAGTACTGCGCGGCCGGCGACGACGGCGGCGACGAGCGATTGGCCGTCCGACAGGGGCGCGCGGTTGCTAAGCAACAGCAACACCGCGCGCGTTACCGGCCGGCGCATAGCCGGCACGACGGAGGGAGAGAGAGAGAGAGAAAGAGAGAGAGAGGGAGAGAAAGAGAATGGCGTTCCGCGTTTTACAGTGGCGCAGAATTTCGTGCAGAACGACGGTGGCTTTCATGGAGCGCGTACGCGGCGGATTGTAAACGATATACACGGTGCGAGGCCGAGCGGACCACTCACACGGACGGGCGCGCTTTCTCTCCCTCCTTTCACTCTTTCTCTCTCTTTCTCTCTGTCTCCATCCCCCCTCTCTCTCTCTCTCTTTCTCTCTCTCGTCTCCTCCGTCTGTCGCTCCGCGATCGCGGACGGTACGACGCACGCTCCCTTTCTTGACGTATCCCCGCCGCGGCCGCCGGAGATCCTCAGTCTCGCGGTAAAGGACGTCGCGCGAGCTTCAGAGTATCAGGGCGTCTGAGAGGAAGAGGACATAAAGATGGCAGAGGACAAGAACGAGACCAGTCCGAGCGCCGAGGGCGAGAAGCCGCCGCAGGAGACGGCGGCGGCGTCACCGCCGGCCAAGGAAGAGCCCAAGGATCGTAAGGAGGACGAGAAGAAGGTCGAGGAGAATGGCGAGGGCGAGAAGCCGAAGGAGAACGGCGAGGAGAAGACCACGCCGGAGCCGAAGGATATGCGGGCGATCGTGCTCAACGGTTTCGGCGGCCTGAAGAGTGTCAAGGCCCTGAGGAAGCCGGAGCCCGCCCTCGGCGAGGGAGAGGTCCTTATACGCGTCAAAGCCTGGTGAGTTGAGTTTCGCTTCGCTCTCTGCCTCTCTCTCTCTCCCTCTCTCTCTCTTTCTCTCCGTCTCTCGCCCCCTTCTCGCGCGTTTCGCCCTTCCGCCCTTTCTCCGCTCTCTCGAGCGTTCGCGCGCGCCGGAGCGAGACTCTTGGTCCATATTCCCTACGCACACGGTTCAGCGCTGCACCGGAGCCGTTAGATGGTACGCCGATAGAAGCCATATTTTCCCCATTAAATCGCTGAAGCGTCTCGGAACTCGCGCTGTTTTGTCCGGCCTGCGAATACCTGCCCACAAACGAGCGTGCCATTGTGCCTACAATACGTGTGCATTACATTTTTCATATCCGAAATTCCCGAGAGAATTCGATCGCGCGCGATTCGGTCAATTGATAATCCTCGCCGTTCCCTAGTCTTCCGACGAGGAACGGTCTGAATTTTCAAGTCGCGCGTCAGAACCGTGCATGAATCGATATGAAATAAATTGATACGGTAAATTTTCATATTTCTCGTTGGTTCTATTAAATCTTCGTTCTCACAGGATATAAGATTCGGGTTCGGAAGGTCACGTTTGGGAGCGAAATATAAGCGGCGCCCGTATAGACTTTTTCGTCCGAGACCTTTGTCACAAAAATACGCGGCAGGGTGCGGCTTCGGATGGTCCTTCGCATTTCGCCGCTGCTCGTCCGTATACGTGTACGCCGCAGCGCAAAGGATCCGAGGATCGAGCATGAAAAAAAAAAAAAAAATTAGATGTAACTTCCTCTCTTTTGTTCACGAACGGGCGTCGGTGAAAATTTTCCAGATTGTCCCCGAAGTGGGATGTCTCGTTTCCGCTTTCCCACGATAAATTACAAAAACTTTGGTGACCACATTACACTCCGTCCTGATATGCGGGTCGTAGTAGCCAGCGACTAGGTAATTACGATCCTAATCTAGTCTAAACGGGTGGAATTGAGAAACGTAAATGTAGAAGCTTAGTGGCTATCTACGCCTCATTAGGTCGAGAACGTATCGTGTACGTGAAATTTTTATCAACGCCAGCCTATTTCATTCCGTTTTTTTTCTCCCTTTCGAAGTACAAAACGTCGTCCCCGGGCATGGTCACTCGAGAGAAGCGGTGAATAGTCGAAAAATATATACGCTTGATACTTCTGCACTCGTACCCGTTTAACGACAATACGTAGCGCAGGGGGAGGGGGGGGGGGGCGTGAGATAAAAAAAAAGGCACGCCCGAATAACGATTTGTTAACGGGCTCCGTAAGTGGGGCCACCGTGTTGCATTCTCATATTGGAATATATCGATGCGCTTCGGCCTCCGAACGTCTCCCGTTCTCGCCACGCACACGCGACCGTCGATCGGCCGCGGCGCTCGATCATCGATGGTCGATTAATCAATTTCCGAAACGCGGGCGTTGCCGCCGTTGAATTCATGAATCACGACGAATCGGTTGTTTATTACGTTATACGCGCGAGAAGATGTCGACTTGATTTTTCAATTGTATATAAAAAGAGGAGAGAGAGAGAGATGCGTGCATATTGGTATTATCGCGTACGAGCATGTGTATCATATCCTGAAAGAGAGCCCCGGGCTTTATCTCGCGCGGCCAGGCCAGGGACAGTCGCGATGATGATGGTGCACGGGGGAGACGGCGAACGTCGGATTCGCCAAAGGTCTGCTGCGCGCGCGGACCTTTTCACGCGTGAGTCACGTTTTATAAAAGCTATTGGGATTGATGAGAAAATAGCCCCCATAGAAAGATATCACGCTGCCAATGCCGGCGAATAAATTTGTCTGCCCCGCTGCAGACACGTTCGTTAAAGCTCTGTGCGAGCACCCCCGCACACCGTCGCGCGTCGTCGACGGGACGGACGGCTGAATAAAGTGACCGTTCAGTTTGCCGTTTCGATAAAATGCCCGTACACAAGCCTGATAAACTCGGTTATTTTTTCCTTTTTTTTTTGTCTTTTTCACGTCACGCGACCGTCTTTCGAGGAACTCGAGTGCCTCCTCCTTTCTCATAGAAAAAGCCAGTCCTCTCGAAAAAACACAAATTCAATTCCAAGAAGTACAAATTTATATAACATAGAAGCGGGAGGGGGTATTTACGAGCGCTTTTGTTACGTGATTTAATTATGTGAATAATGCGTTCACGACGCGGAGAGTCGCTCCGCCGCTGTGTTTTCTTTTTGATTCATCTTTGCCGTTGCAGCCCGAGGCATTCTTCCATTTTAGTCGTGCGTGCATGCGTTCACGCGCTTCGCATGTGAGCGTGAACTCCATTCGGACGTACCCTTTGTAGTGAAAGGGTTATTCGTCGCAGGAAATGTCGAATTTAAGATGTCGCGTTCGAAAGTGGAAGCAATATTAAAAGCGCAGGTCGTTACCGGGACATTCAGATCAATAGTCTTTTTTTGCTGACTATTTTGCGAACCATTGTTTGTTATTTTATTTACGTTTTATCGTATACAGATGGAGTAATTATATTGTTACATAATTACTCCTCGAGTATATAATTATTATCCTCGATAAAAAATATCATTCAGAAAAGATAAAATAAATTTCGCGGAAATTCAACGGCGAGAAATTTGATGAGGAATTTAATTAATCGTCTGATCGCGTCTTAAAAATAATTATTAACAGAAAATTTTTTAAAACCAAATTAAATTTCCACGGAAGAGGAAGATCGCTCTCGTGTTCGTCTTGTTTCAACATTGAATTTTTATTATGAGCGATTGCACTCGCGGGTAGTTTCCCGTATTCTACGTATCTCGTTCTTGATTACTCATGCTGAATCTATTCGCCGAAGGAAATGGGCGATTACTCCTGAATAAAACAGTTCTTCCGCTCGTGTCTACAGTGAGACAGCATAAAGTCCAATGAACCACCTTATTTCATGTATAATAGATATCCTTGACGAAAAGAAAGCGAGCTCTCGCGCAAGTCTCGACTCTGTCCGGATACTCCAGAAGTTTAAACTGAAGCGGTTCCGAGAACCCAATAAACGTATTCTCGTTTGTACGGTCGTTTCTTTTTCTAACGGAGGAAGAAGTGAGGTATATATAAACATTTGTGTCATTTCGGAGCGGAGTTCACCCGGTAATTCTGTAATCTCTTTTTACACTCCGTAAGTGCCTTCTCTCTCTCTCTCTTCGAGGCGAACCCTGTAAGAAATTGGAAGCGACGGGGGGAAAAAACCGGCGTGCGAGCGATGAAAGGCGAGTGTTGGAAACGCCTTAAAGCACGGGAGGAGAAAGAGAGCGGGGGAGAAAAGGGGAGAGAGAGAGAAAGAGGCACACACGCGAATCGCGGTGGCCTATCACCGTCCGCTGAATGGTATCCGTTCAAAGTTTCCCATAACGCGATATTAAGTCCTCATTAGCATGATAAACTCGACGGGACAGATACAATGGTGCCTTTCATCGGGCAGCGCTTCCACGAAAACGCGAGAGCGCGCGCGAGCTTTCGCCCGGCGTATATAAATTCCAAATAACATCGTAGAATTTACGTGCGTCTACCTACACACGCGATATCGCCGGTCATTCACGCACTACTTGCACATAGACGGTATTACGTGGACTTATTATCCACGCAACCGTGCATCAACGGGACAAGAAAAAAAAATTGTTCGCCGCTTTTGACTGTCACGGGGATTTCGAGTCTAGACCTCCGAGTCCTTGGATTTAAAAATCTTCGACTATTGGTCATCGAAATCCTGGAAACCTTTTTGTACTCCCGAGCTGTTGGAACCTCGAAACGACTTTTATTCAGATTTTCGAATCTTCAGCGACTTTGACTTTTTACGTTTCGATGATAAGATCATTAACTCCTCGAATTTTTGACCTTTGCGATTTACAATTATATAGGCACTGCTCGATCGCAGCAGCGTTACGATGATATAAATGTCACTCGCGGAATAATCGCAAAGTGCATAAGTGCTCGCTGCAGCTGCAACCGACGTCAAGTCCAGGTCTGAAGTGGACGCGCTTTTATACGGGGTATCGTCGTCGTCGGCCGTTCCGACAATCATGCCGATCGTGATGTTGCAAGGCATCTTGGAAATATCCCGAATTAATAGTGCTATGCCTCTTCAATCGCCTTTTTCCGCGTTCTCAGATTTATCGGGCGCGAATTAAATTAAAAATAAATCAATGCGTGACCTGTCGAGCTTTTCGGCCACGAACGATTACGCCGATGTCTGTGCGCACGCATTTACGTTGACATCCGCGTGCGTGCCGGGGGAGGGCGGGGTGGAAGGGAGGAAGGGTGGAAGCGCGCGCGAGAGGCAGAGGGTGTAGGAAATACGGGTGTGGTTCGATCAATACGGACATCCCATAGATCTATCGGTGCGTATGTACGTACCGTTGGGTGAATCACACTGAAAATTATTGCGTGTGTAACGTAGGTCATTATTATGCGCGGATCGTGAAATGTTTTTTGTCCGAAACTTGGAAATAAACTGCCTGCCTGTCTATCTCTGTTTTTATCTCAACGGCGGAGCCGCATAACACGATTAATCTCACAGTTTGTGTTTTCGATTTCTTTGCGCGCGTTAAACGTCGAAACGCGGTGGATATCAGTTGCGAACGGCATTATAATAAAAAGACTACATATTTTACATCGATTAGGAAGACGTATCGTGCACACCCCGTTGTAGTAGGTACTCGCTTTTCGCCTTTTTTTCCATGCGCGCCGTGCAGATTCCTCTTTTGCTTTTCCGTTGCGAGACGCGTAAATCTAAAGATGTTTATCCATAATGATGCTCGACGCTCGTTTTTAACATCAAAACAGATTAAAATTAACGCTTGATATATCAATTTTGATCACGTGATCTGTCTTGATGTTAAAAATGAGCTTTGAGCATCAACATGGAAAGGCACTTTTACGATCGCGTTCCGCTCGTGTATTTTGCAACGTGGCGATTTCGCGGAGCAAATGGACGAGAAAGGGGCCACGCGTATCGGCCAGGGGAAGCTTGCGCACGATGCGTTATAGATACTCGATA